GTCCATTTTATCGAGGAATTGCCCTTGTTCTGCCTATCAAAAGTTATGAAATTCCTCTTGTATATGGACATTCGGGGAAAGCGCAGCCACGTGTGGGCTCGCTTCGCATACTGCGTTCGTCTGAATCACTCATTTTGTTAGCCATATATTTTAATGCGAAATACTTCACCGAACTGCACGTCATGTAAGTATCTTCGCATTAATACACGATGTTTGCTAGTGTTTATAGAAGGCCGTAAAATTACTTCATGCAATATACATATTCCTTTGCATATATGCAAACCAGAAGATCGGTGAAGTGTTTATTCTATCGTTCTACTTCTTTTTACGCACGCCAGTATTTGGGGCGAGTCGCTTTTACCATGGTTTTGAAATTCAGATGCGCCCAAATTCAATTTATAGCGCTGTAGAAATTGGATGGTTGGCTCGCCTCTCCCGTTTTCTGGGAAATCAATACGAAAGCGGGTGTTAGAGATGGATGGATGTATGTGTGTATATATTTGGGAGGGAGAGTCAGTATGTGTAGCCAAATTCTCCCCGAAGGAATATCGATCGTTTTTGGTTGGCAGGCTTCTCCGAAAAGCAGTTCTCGATTATTTAGATGACTGCGGTAACCGCGGAAACAAATTGTAGATCATCTCCCGAGAGCTAGGCGAATCGTTTGAGCAGAAAGGGGGGAATCCAAACTCTCCCACCCTTTGTTTTAAAAGACAAGAGGCAGTGGCAGATAGAAGGGAACGTTTTAACCGTCGAATAATCTGCTGCTGAAGAAATCTGACTATGAAATGGAATATGATAGTTTCTTCGCACATTTCTTCCTAATGATGGTTGTATGGGTGGCTAACTTTTCAATATTTATGATCAAATTTTTAAAACTAACCGCAACATATATTTTGTTGCTAAGAATATCACGTTATGTGAAGCATTTATTACGTTTTATATAATTATAATTATTCAGGCGCGTACGCATATGTAGGCATTGATGCGCTGTTTAGCACTCGTTTTATTACGCAGATACAGGGCATTAAATTGTCGAACATATTTAGACCATTCAAAGTTCTTTACATATTTTTGTAATTTTTTTTATATATATAATGTATATATATATATATATTTGTGATGCACTTTTAAAATGGTGAAAAACCTTTCAGCTTCAAACTGTCTTTTCCAAAGCTATAGCAATTAATTAAATTTCATAGATGTAGTCTGTATCCATGCAGATGAGGGTATAAAAGATTCTTATAAGTGTGGGTTTTTTTGATTTTATTTTATTTATTATTTATTTTTATTTTATTATTATTTATTTTTTTTTTTTTTTTTTTTTGTACAAAGTAAAAAGGAAGTATTGTAATCGCGAAAAGCTTCAGGCAGCATATTTCAACGAAAATATCCACTTTGACCGCTTTCGAATGCAATTTAACGATGTTTTCGCGTGATACCTGTACGTAAGGACAGAAAAAGACTCTTTTTCTTAAAAAAAAAAAAAAAAAATTAAAAAACTGCTTTAAAATGAATTCTGAAGAGAATTTTTCATGGCATCTGTACGAATGTACGTATCTCGCATAACTCAAAAACAAGTAGCCTCAGAACGTTCAAATTTTGTATATAGGACTGCTATAACATGTAGATGTGCACCTTGTATTTTGGTTTCGATTGGCCGCGCCAAACGTATATAAATATATTTATATATATATCCACTCAGTTACCCGGCTCAGTGATCTCAGATTCTTTACTCTTAGTTTGTAAATTGTACATTTTTTGCTTTAAAAATGATTGTAATTATTATGTTGTTTTTATCTTCCGGTTAAGGTTTTTATGCCTTTAGTAAATCTGTGTGCAATATTTTTAGAATTATCAGCAATTTTAAAGTTGTTTTAATTGCCGCTAAGCCTAATTTTTGATGGCGGCCATTGCTTGTTTACATTTGAAACAGCAAGACTAGTGGATTTGTTGCCAATCTAGAGAAACTTAGCTTCGCAACAACAAAGATAAACGCCTTCATTTATTATTGCCAATTTAAATCATGCTTAATCCTTTCTGGAATTTTTTCGAGGAAATAAGTGTTTAAGATTTACTTAATTTTTAATAATTAGTATTTTTATAGAGAGATATTTTGAGTTTTTATGTATTTTTGCCTTTGTCGCGAAGTGAGAACTGAATTAATTGAATGAGAAATACTCAATCATCTGTGAAAAAAACTGTTTCTTTTTTGTTTTCTTTGCTTAATTTCTTTTATACATCATTCTAGCTTTATTATAGTATTTGAATAGAACATGTGGCAACGATTAGATAATTCTTTAAATGATATAAATTTTTGTGCATTCTGAGTTATAATATGAACGAAATATAATATAATGTTAAGTGAACCTAGCGCCAGAGTGTCGCTATGGTAAACAAATAGAGTGAATTTTAAAGAATGCATTTATTCTATTGTGGTTTATGCGCTGTCGGCGAAGTAGATTTAATTCAATCCAATAAGTTTAAACAAAATGCAAGAAAAAATGCGTATAATTTAATATTCCATACAAGGAAGTCATGTGGTGTTCACATCAGATTTTTTAATAAAGTTTTCCATTTTGTCTGTCATATATTCTGGTTTCATTCAATGTTGTGAATGTAGAAAGAAGATTGAATTAAGTTCTTATGTATGTTTGTTTTCTAGTTTCCTGTGAATTATTATTTTTGTTTCCAAATGGTGTGTTTGCCATTCAGAATTTCAACATGTTTTACATAAAATGCTATAATGCAGCATTATTGTAAGAGAAGAAATTTTCACATTTGACAAAAAAGTATCACAGTATGCAAAAACATTCTGAAAATATGAAATGATTATTTCTAGTATGGAAGAACTGTACAGATTTTATTTACATTAATGAAACCATCAAATAAAAGAATAATTTCTTCTAGTCACATCTTCTATTAGTTTCTAGTCTTACATCTCATTCCATTTCCTGTAAATTACTTACTTCCTGTAATTTACTTTTGCTGTAGTGTTGATATTGTGATGTTAAAAATGATTTCAGCAAAGTATCTTTGTTTTCCTATAACTAATCTGATGAATTTGGAATGTTTTACATTATATCGTGGAACATTCTGAAAAAATGACTTTTTAGTGGGTATAATAATAATTATATCTATTTCTAGTGATTTTTCTTACCTTGAAACACTGTTTATCTGTTTTTCAAGGGACTGTTCAGAAACGATGTATATATGTGAAAAACTTGTAAAGCAAATTTTAATTTAAGATGGGAAATGTATACATGCAAAATTTTATTATCATGCCTTCAATCTGTTTAAAATATTAATTATATTCAAACAAATTTAAAATTAATATTATATTAAATCATTTTAAAATATAATAATTGTTATATTTTAAAATGATGTTAATGTAAATTTAATATTTTTTAAAATTATAAGAATGCAACTTTCTCTATGTTTACATAATTTTTTTTTAAAGACGATTTTCATTGGAATTACCTTACTTATTCAAAGTAAGTTTTTTCCCCAAGAATATGTTTAAGGCAAATTTTATTTTAATTTATTTATTTATTTATTATTGTTATTATTAAGGAAAAAGTCTTTCTCAGTTGATGTGTCTTTTGATTTTGAATCTTAAGCAAAGTGCTAAATTCAGTTCTTGATTATTATACACAATAAAATTTCTGTGGATAGGTGGATGCAGGAGATAGCATTTAGAAAAGAAGCTGGAATTATTTCTTCATTTTCTTCATCATCTCTGCTATTGTAAATGTTCATATGATAAAATGTTTTTAGTCAGTTCTTAAACTGGGTCATTACATTGACATCATGTGTCAAACTGGCATCATTACATTGGCATCGCAGTTTACATATTCCTCAATTATAATGTCTAATCCCAATAGTTTCCAGACATCTTGTTTTCTTTCTTCATCCTGAATACTTTCACTTGACTCTGGGCAGTAGCGTAGCTAGGGTGGGGCAAGGGGGAAAATCTGTTCCCGGGCGCAGCATTCAGGGGGCACAAATTTGATGTTACGAAATGTTAAAATGAAATGCTTTCCATTCTTGGCACACAGAAAGGGGCGGAAATTCTTCAGTTGTCCCCGGGCGCTGAAAACCCTAGCTATGTCTCTGACTTTTGGTTCAAAAATTCCCTTTAATGAAGCAATTTGTAATTGTTTATGGTTTTACTTAAGTTCAGGCAAGTGAAATTGTATTCGTAGCCTCAAGAATATTTAAATTTTTCTGTGTATTTCCTGCAATTACATTCTGAAGGTTTATTTGAACTAATCTTTGCCTGTAGAACATTTTCAAATTCTTAATGACACCAAAATCTAAAGGTTGTACTACACTAATGTTAATTTGATAGCTTTCACATTCTGAAAGTAATCTGTCATTTGAGAGTGGATTGTGCACTTATCCATAAAAAGTAAAATTTTATCTATTTGTCTTCTCTTAGTTTTATCTACTTTCTTGAGTCATTCTATAAAAATGCTTACAAATAAGAAAACTGTGAGAAGCTCATGTTAAGTGTAATATGAATAATTTATTTAAAATTCTGACGTGTGAAATATTTACTGAAATTTATAATTTTTTTCGTGGTTAATTTTGAGAAAGCACTTGAGGGTTGTGCATCTTGAAAAAGAGGGTTGTATGGAAAACCTTTCTAATCAAAGGTTATTGATATTTAAGCATGCGTAAAGAAAAAAAAAATAATAATACAATTAACCCATTCCTTTTCCAGGAATCAAACGCGAGATAAATTACCTCGTAAAGTGGTGGTGTTCAGTTAGTTTAATATGTAAAATTATTTTTGCCAAGAATTAATAGTAATTCTGAATTCTGATATCCTTAGTTATTTAACTTTAAACAAATGTCCCCTTTTTAACAATAATAATTCAGAAATATTTTAACAGATTCCCCCCCTTTTTTTTTTTTTTTTTTTTTTTTTTTTTTTTTTGTATGTATGCTAGTTTTTACTAGATATCTGTATGTTTTTTTTTTTTTTTTCTCCTCAACAGAAACAGAGTGGTTCATCCTCTCTCATAACCAAACCATATAAGATTGACGACTTCTGTCTCTTCAATTCATGAGGCTGAGGTGGAGTTAAAGAAGCGTTTCTGGGAATGTGCACTCCTTGCTTGTGGTGGCGTGACAACGGAGGCCAATGAAAGACAACTCGCTGGATGGCCACCGTGGAAAGGTGGCTCTATCCGACACCACGAGGAACGCCACACAGCTCTGTTCAACGGCCAGTAACGCAACTAACAGTGGAATCAAGTGCGATCTGAAGAGTCCCCCATCCACGGCCGGTGCTACAACTGCCAACGACGGAAGTGCAGCAACCAATTTTGATGATGATTATAACGAATGGGAATTGGGCATCGGAGACTTAATCATAGACTTAGACGCAGACATTGAAAAAACCAACGAACGAAACAGCGGTGGTAGTGGCAATACACAACAGGGTATTTCTCCTCAGCAAACTCACGGTCATCACCATCATCATCATCATCACCACCATCACAACCATCATCACAGTCACCACCAAAACGGCACTGCATCCAGCCCAGGGAGCAGTTCAGTGGGCAATTCATCTATTATTGATTCCCCAAACGCGTCCAGCTCTGCGACTGCTTTTAATTTTCTAGGGTCCCAACCCCCCTGCAACAGTAACTTGGCGGCAGCCATGTCCAATACGAAATCCCCTCGCCTCGCTGGGAATAGTGCTGTGGGCAGTGGAACTAGTGGATCCTCAGCAGGAGCTGGAGTGGTGTCAACATCTGGCAGCAGCAATAATAATGGTGCTAATGCTTCTGCTTCTGGAACATTTGAGCATCAGGCAACTGTAGATAAAGGTTTGAAAATGAAAATTAAACGAAAGACTGTGGGAAATAAATATTCTGAAGCAAAACATGAAATCGTGCAATCGGACACAAAATCCAATTCTGGAGCTTCACACCCACTCTCTGAGAGCATGAATAATTCCAACATTAGCAATAACTGCACAAATAGTACTTCTAATTCAAACTCCCCTGCAGCAAGCTCTGACACTCCTAAATCAAAACATTCTTCAAGCAAGGGGAGAAACAGTAGTCATCGTGAAAAGAAAGAGAAGAACAGGGATAAAGATAAAAATTCAAGTGTTCGCAACAGTACTTCTGCACCAACCAGTGAAATGAATGGTGTAATTGGTGTAATGTCTCCCTTGAAAATCACAAACAGTGGAGTGAGCTTGTCAAGCCCAGCACCGCCGTCCTTGTGTTCAAATTCATCACCTTTGCCTTCTGGCAACAGCAACAATTCTGTAGCTTCTCCTGGCATGCCTCGTAGTGGAACAGGCACAAATGTTGCCAATTCCCCTGCTAGTAACTGTGCTCAAGAAACTACACAACCCACAACTGCACTAATTAATTTGCCAAGTCAGGGTATTTCTTCCTCTAGTTCTCCCCCAATGCCGAACTTAACTTTGAAGCTGGAAAATAAATTTGCACCTAGTCCCATCTCTCAGTCATCTGCTGTTCCAGCTGTCATAATCAAACAGGAGGATAGACCTTGTTCTCCACCTCTGAAGAAAATAAAGCTTGAAAATTCGGACAAAATTGCAGAGGTATATATATATTTTTTTCCAAGTTCAAAAGATATTTAAAGATTGTAGTGTATTTAAAAGAAATAGGTCTTTGGAAGTACAGGAAATAAAAAGAGAAGTGCAGTAAAGTATTTTATACATATGTGCATTTTGAAATAAATATTTTTAAGTTAATCTGGAAGTACTGGAGAAGACTGTGGTAGCTCTTGACTTGAACATATTTTGAGTCATGGATGAAAATCATTAGATTTACGCTAGAAAAAGTAAAACATAATAAGTACATAAAGCAGTTAATTGTTTAAAAAAACAATAATAAAAATACACAATTTTTTATTTTTGAATTTTTTTTACAATAGTGTGTTTTCTAAATCATTAGGATATTCTAAGTTCCCATTATTCCAAATTATACTGTTGTTACTTCCAGATTACTTTCAGTTTTGTTGTTCTAAATTCATTTTTGACAATTATTTCCAGAGAAATCGAGGATTTGTTTAAAACTTGCCATTCTGATACAATTAGAGAGTGGTATTTTAGTTCTAGTTGTAAATAAATGTTAAAAATTCTGATGCTTTTCCTTTAATTGGACAGCAGTTGCACCAGACATAAATAGTGGTACAAAATATAGTGTGAAATAATGACATTTGAATGATATATTGAAGATGTGTCACTAGGGCTTAATTTATAGTCAAAAACAGTGGATAAAAAACAGATAAATTATAAATTAAAATAATTATTGCAAAATTTGTCTAAAATAACAAAACAAATGAAAGGCGAGTAAAGATAACAAGTGCTAGAGATTCAAAGAAAGGTAAAAACTATTCTGAATAATATATGATGGTCGTATAAAACTGTTTCCTTATTTTGGTATCTAACTCATTTAAGTTCTTTGGTCAAGTGGGTAAAATCAATACTCCTTTAATGTTAGTTAGGGAAGTGATGGGTAAAATGCATAAATTTCGTCTACCTGAAATTACTGCTATTCAGTATTGGGTATTTTCCCCCCAGGTGTCAAGGTTTTTCCAAATATTTGGCTTTTCCATGGGAAAGCAAATCATGCATTCAGTAGTTGGTACCAATGCTAGTTTTACTAATCGCTAAATTGAGTGCATTATTAATAGAAATTTGTGGTATTAGGATTCAATTATAGAAAATTATAAAAAGAAAATCTTGTAGTTGCTCTGTCCTTTAGTTAATTTACTTAAATATTTTCAAATGTGTGTTTTCCTCCTTTATTTTATACATATTCATTATACTTTTTCCTGTTCAGATCTTTGTGAAGTTTCAAGATGGTCATTGATAATTTTGTCTAAATTTTAAAATTAACTTTGTTTAGAAACTAATTGGTTTAATTGTGGAAGCTATTTCTTTTATTGATGAAGCAGTGTGAGCAGTCAAGTGATGTGCAGTTTTCCAGACCATTTATATAAAAGCTTAAAGTAATTGGTGTAGCTTTGATGGAAGAGACAAACAGAAATTTGGATTAAAAAGGGGGGATTGCATTACTATTTCTTTCACATCATAATCCTCTTTTTAAAATTTCAGTTTCTTAGACTTCTATCTGGTTGACATTTTTTTCAAAGTACAGTACAAAGTATTTAATCCGGACTCTTTGGGAGTTCGGTGATTCCGGATTACGTTTTTTTCCGCATTATAGATCATCAATTTAAATCAAGATGGCATGCAGAAATTATACAATTAAAAATATGAAACCATAATTTATGAAATAAAGAGCAGTTATGATTTAAAGGGTATTAAAATTTACAAAAAAAAAAGCTTAATATTTATTTGTTTACTTTATTAAACATTTCTTTCAACGCGCACATGCGTAAAACATACATTGTTAATAGTCGAAATTACAAAATTGCAACTAGAAAACTATTTGATGTGTATTCGTGATATTTATAATGACGAGAAAATTGATTTAAATCACATCGGAGTGCATCGAGAGGAAACACTACATTTAGTAAGGAATTGTAAGCAGAATAAAATAAAAACATTTGCCCTGAAGATGAGGATAGTGCTGACAGATCAACTTCCAGTTCATTGCGCGCTGCGACGTCCCCCCCCCCCTGCAGGGCAGCGTGAAATTGATAAACAGATCTCGGAACGGTTAGAGAAACAAATCACCTCTCTGTCACTTTCTTCATGCCTTTATCCATTTTTTGCAGCAATTCCTTTTTTTGTTTAATGGACATCGAAACATGCTTTCGCTTTGTAGATCCTTTTGCAGCTCCAGAATTGGAAACTCTTTTTGACATAATCGAAAGTTCAAGCTTACTTTTTATAAAATTGCTCTAACAGTCTGCAAAAAATAATAAGCCGAATCCAATTAGAAGATTAAGGAACAACGCAATCTGCAACATTAACAGAAATAGATAATTAGATAATTTTAGCCTAGCTTATACCGTCTGTTATACATGAAACGCGCATGCGTAAACATATTATGCACATACTAAAGGTTTTATGCTCATGCATAAACGCATTATGTGTTTATGCATGCGCAGAAAGTTCGTAGCTTTGAGGTCCGGATTATAGATCATTCTGGATTATGGACGTCCGGATTAAAGACTTTATACTGTATAATGTTGGATAGTAATTACTCGTTTCCAGATGATTTGTTTGCATAGTTAACCCCCCTCCCCCAGAATAAACAATAGATATGGAAAACATATTTTAAGCCTATTTATAGCAATCTAATTTGTAAACTTCAAAATCATTGAAGTAATTTTTATAAGCTTCAAAGTCATTAAGTATTAAATCCTTAAATATTTGTTGAAATTGTCTTAATTAAAAATGAAATTATTATGAAAAATTGATTATTAAAATGGTCTGTGATCGTAGACTGATCTTTGGAGCATTTAACTTCCGCAGTACTTTAAATTGAGCAATAAATTATTGTATGTGCATTCTTGCATATTGTGTGTATTGATTTTAAGCAGTCGATTATAAATAGGTCTATTTCTTGCATGAGTGTTCAGAAGCAAACCTAAAATACTTTGTTTGTATCTTGGAAGTATGAATTATACTTGTTATGACCATCCTGTTAATCTTCATTTAAATTTCGCCAACTAGTAGTGTAGTATGTCAGTGGTATTAAAGATGAATGAGCATAGCTTGATGAGGTGCATGATCTAATGTATGGGAAAAGAGCCATCAAAGTCTGTTTTATGGTGCATGCTATATATGAACTTTACTAGGCAGTCACATCATATTTTTATTTACCATGGCTTGATGAAATTTTGTTGATATTGTTAAAACCTCTGCTGTTCCTATAGCATTTTATTTACTTTCTGTGTCTTACAAAATAATGCAAATATACACATAGAATAATAATATATGGTACTTACTATTCAGTCTTATACTGGCACTACTGAATTATATTATGAGACAGTTTTACCATATGTTTTATTCTGTGATTATGTTGGTATTATAGTAGACAGCAGTTGGGTCTCTTACTGATGTATGTCAAGTTCATTGTTAAATAATCTCATTTAGTGTTTTTTTTTAATTTTATTATTATTGATTTCCCCCTCCCTTTGTATTGTATTAAATATTTTATCATTCCGACTATATCACTGTTCATTTTTCTTTCCTGTGTTAAATCTTTTAATTGATTATATTTTCATTGTGTGGCACAACATTTTGCATTTTTTAAATGGCAGTATTAGTTTAGAATGGTATAGAACAAGTGTATTATAAGAAACATAGGGAAGCGATTTCTGCTCTGAGCTAACATTCCGCCATTGAGAGAAAATGAAAGGGAATTTATGAAAGCCTATAATAATTGTGAGTAGTACTTAGCTGCAAGAGTCATCAGAAAAGCAGCAGGGAAAGTCATTGGACAATGACTGGGAAAAAATTATTAGTTCTAGGTGATATTTTATAATTTCTAGAAATTGTGTTAGTTACAATTTTTTTTCTGTTAAAATTTAAGACAGCCAGAGATATACAGTAGATAAACAAAATAATTAAATTTAATTTATTATGGCTAGGTAACAATATAGTCATGTAAAGAAAAATGTCTTGATGGTGAATTGGCCCTAAGGTGAAATGGGATGACTGCGAAGCGACAACAGTGAAACAGCAGTGGTGAATAGTGTTTTTTCTTTGACTCTAGGGAAGAGAATTTTTATAGAAAGCTTAACACCTTTATGTTCAAATTCTCATTGATTTCTTTTTAAATTAAAATTTTATTTTCAAATTAGGAATTCATATTTCTGAGGTTTTGGAAAGTGAAAAATGACCATGTTTTACTTTAAAAAGATTTTATAATATCAAAATGTGTGTGCATCTGGCAGCATAAGATTCTAATGGTGACAATTTATTAAATGTATTTGTATATTTAGTACTAATAAATGCTTAAAGATGCATAGTATTTATTTGTAGTCTTTAAATTCATGAATTTCTTATTTAAAAGCAAAAAGAATGTAGCAATGTAAATTTCACAAAATGTTATCTACATTTTCTGTATGTAAATAGAAAAAAATTTTATAGACCATAAGCACACCATAAATGACTACTTTAAAGCAGTCAAATGTCAGAATCCGTTCTTCCTGTTGTTTCTTATCGGTGTGCATAGAAAGCAAAAGACAGTGGAAGATACCATTAAGTTAATGAAAGGGAAAAATGGAATGATGATGAAAAATTAGTTTTTTTGTCAGGAAACAGGCAATAATTTAACACTTCCCCAAGTTAATTTTTGTATGAATTTTGTAATTTTGAGCTTAAATTTGGGAAAGGTTTTGCAGCATTTTAAGCCAATAATTTACTTGCTTTATAACTTCTTATTACTGCAACAATTTTATACACACTTAATGCAATTAAAAATTTGGGGATTCCCTTCCCCTTTTTTGTTTTATATATTAGACAAAGAATATATTCAGAATTTTGTTCTGTGTATTTAAAATATGTAGGATGAAATGTGATTATGAAACCTGATTTTTCATGACTTTCATATTCAGCTGTATGAAGTTGTAGAAGTGCAGTTCATGCAAATTCAATATTCATTTTATATTTGAATGAAATGTCTCTGCAAAAGCCATCTATAGCTTTAATCAAGGATTTGAATATTTTTACATTTGTTATTGTGTTATTTATGTATATAAATATGAAATGTAATTTTCAAGCATAATTGTAATAATAATAAAATTCCATTTTAGTTAAATAAATAATTTCCTTAATAGTATGATTGTGTGGTAAATATAAAATAAGAATACAAGGAAGGGACATCATTATTGTTTAAATGTTTTAATGTCATTTAATAAATTCCAGTGAGTCAAGCCAAAGTTATCACTTTCTATATTCCCACCATAATTACTAGGAAGGCATTCCTTAGTCTTTTATTTTATGATAGGGTTCAGAGATACTATAATAAATTTAATGACTAAGCATTTATTGCACAAGAATTAATCAAGTTTGCATGCTTTTAGACTTGTAAATTAGTACCGTCTTAATTCCAAATTTAAAAAATAAACACAAAAATACTGTGATTTTTAAATTATTTATTTATTTATCTGATTTAATGATGAATACTCACCAAATGAGTAGAAAATTTAGTTGTTATATTTTAGACATCTACCGTAACATGTATAGAGTTTTAAATATTTATAATTTTTTTGTGAACGCTGCTTTTTCTGAAAACTTAATTGTTGTTGTTAAGCACAATTTAATGATATTGTGTATGAATACTCTGTTTTGCATGCTACTTATTTTTTTTCCCAGGATGAATCTCCAGGATCTCCTATTCCTCCAGAGATGAAAGATACCAGTACTTGTACATCAGTGGGTACTATCACCGAGCCTGATTGTTTAGGTCCATGTGAACCTGGAACAAGTGTTATGTTAGAGGGCATTGTTTGGCAAGAAACAGAAGGAGGCAAGTGTTTATTTTTTATTTGAAAAAAAAAAACTATTTAATCTGTTATTTGGATAAAATCTGAAAGATAACTTCTGCTTTATATTTAATACATTTTCCTTCTTTTTTAGGAGTGCTGGTTGTCAACGTGACATGGCGTGGCAAAACATATGTTGGCACTCTCTTGGACTGCACAAAGCATGATTGGGCTCCTCCTAGATTCTGTGAATCTCCTACTAGTGATGTAGATTCTAAAACGTCTAAAGGACGTGGAAAAAGAGGACGAGGAGGCAATAATAGTTCTAGTGACATGAATTCATTTGCTGATGCTCGGAACTGTGTACAAAGTAAATTGCGCAATGGTAAAGGAAGGCGTACTACAATAAATAGTAATGCATCGAGTTCAGGATTCACTGTACCAAACAGCCCTGCAAAAAGTGAAGGTGGTGGATCGAATAATAAAAGAAAAGGTAGACCAGCTGATTTAGAAATCAGCACACCACCTGTGGACAGCAAATCTTCCAAAAGAAGTCGGACTCAAAATCGTACGATGCCTACCTCTTCTGCCCCTGCAGAATTTCCCCAACCGTCCTCTCCAGTGTTGATTGTTTGTCCAGAACCTAATTGTAGCAAAAAGTACAAACATATCAATGGTCTTCGGTATCACCAAACACATGCACATAGTGCATCGGACAGTAGTAAAATGGACGATACTACAACAGAGGATAGTAAAGATGTTACCAATAGCTCTGATAATGAAGAGAGCCTCCAAGAAAGTGCTAGTGTGTCTACAAGTCCTGCACCCACTTTTGCAAATACTGTTCCTGCACATCCTGATAGTGGTAAAATGCTACTTAACGAAACTGCTTCGTCTTCCTCAAGTGTGAATGGTCTTCCTGATAGTGATCCCTACAGTTTAACTACAGATTTGTCAACATTAGCTTCCGTTGCTATTAGTGATTCAAAATCTGGTCAGAAAATTAATAATTCATCAAGACCTGTTCCAGTTGCTCTGCATTCTGCAGTTTCTCAGGACTTATCAGTAGGTAGTTCAGATGGAGATAATATCACTCCAACATCTGTATTACCTGTCCCAATGTCTAATTCCTCACCACCTTCTGTGTCTGTTTCTTCTCCAGCGTTACCTGCGGCTACTACATCACCTTCTAGTGGTGTAAGTTTATCTACAGCTATATCAGCTGTGACAACTTCTGTGATTCAATCTTCCAGCACTGTAGATAATTCTCCTGTTTCACAACCTGTAACTGTGAGCATTCCATCATCTCATGTCATCTTCAATCAGGGTATTTCTGGATCTAATATTACTACTGCCTCTACTTATACAACATCAACTGTTGTATGTAATAATTCTAATCCACTTTCTCCATCGAGAAGTAATTTATCTTCAGCCAGTGTTACTTCCACATTTGCTTCAATATCTTCAATTGCTAGTACAACTGTATCAAGTCCTTCTGCAATACTTCCAGTGATTGATAAAAGTAAAATTAAGCAGGAGAAGCCTGATAAATATAAGCCTAAATCTCCCTTAGCAACGCCATCAATTAGGCCAATAGTACCTGCTCCTACACAATTAATTGCTCTTTCTGCAAATATACCTACTGTTCATCCTGGTATTGGTATGAATACTCATAGTGTTGTGAATTCACAGTTAAAACCCATACAGCCTAAACCAACCATACTTGGAGAACCTTCAACTGTTAACCCAGCTCTTGAAAGCTTGAAGAAAGAGAAAAGCAAGCATAAAAAGAAAAGTAAGGATAAGGATAAAGAAAGGGAAAAGAAAATTCCTTCCCTTCCTCTTACTCCTACAAAGTTAGGAATGAATCCTAACGAGGAATGTGAAGCTATGGAACTGACCTCATATCCTAGTTTAGAGGCTGTTTCTGGATCTTCTGGTCCACTTCCTGGAGCTCCTCATTCTACTCTGTCTCCTCTTGTCTCTCAGCCTAAACCTCCAGAATCTTCCATGGATATGAGTTTGCCTGATGACAGTATGAATGAAAATATTCAAAGTCCTGCTTATTCGGACATATCAGATGCTAATGATACAGCACCTGTCTTAGAGTCAGAGGTACCATCAGGCAAAGAGAAAGAAGATAAAGTTGGCAAGACAACACCTGATGCATCACAGTCTCCAGCTGCAAACGTTAGTGCATATGGAATGTATCCATATTATAGTCACCCGCCTTATCTTATACCCTCAGTGTCTCCACAAAGTGCGGTGTCTGGATCACAAGGTCCAAACATAGTTGAAAAGAGTGACTTAACTAAAAAGAGTGATCAAGACCGTGTTAAAGAAAGCAGACCGTGGAGTAATCCAAGTATTGAATCTAGAGAGCGGCAGCACATAGATCACCATGAGTCAGATAAAAAAGCATCACGAGATGAAAATGCCCAGAATTCCAACTCTGTTTCATCTCCAGCTTTAACAGGTGGTCCTATGGCAGAATATCCCATTCAGCAACATTATTCTTATCCTTATGGTTATCCGCAAACTTACCCTTATCCAATGGAGCCAGCATATCATATGCATCTTTTAGAATCAGACCCACACTATAAGCAACAGTATAAACAATACGTTGAAGAACAGCAGCGAGCGTACAAAGAACAGCAGCATCATCATCAGCAACAGCAGTTACAACAGCAGCTGCAACAGCAAGCACAGCATCATTCTCATCAGCCTCATCACCATTCACATCAATCTCATCATCAAAACAAATCTCAGCATCATTCATCTGCAAAGGAAGACAGAGACAGAGGACGAGAAAGTAAAGAGAGAAGTGGAAATCTTGACAAACTGTCTACTAATAATTTAATTGTGGAACATTCAAGTAAAATTCAGCATTCCTCTATTTCTTTGGTGTCGAATAAAGATCACGATGTTCGTGAAATTGAAACGCGACCACCATCTTTACCTGCACAGGCAAGGAGTGATTCCTCTACATCTTCTGCATCAGCTGCTGCTTTGAAAGAAAAGCAAAACGAAAATCATCAAATTTTAAAAGAGAATATTGAGTTGAAGTCTCAAATGGATGATAGTAAAAACAAAATAAATCAGTATGAAATGGCTATGCTCTATGAAAGACACAAAGAAGATATGAGACGTTATTATACTATGTATCAGGATCGGACTCTAGAGCAGCACCACCAAAAACTGGAACCAGGTATTCATCACCATACGCATCACCATCAAACCATTCAGTCACATGGTCATATACAAACTGCATCTGCATCATATTCGTCGTCATCTGTCAAAACTCATAAAGAAGAAATATCTAGTTCCATTCCCAGTCATGCAAAATCGAGTCATTATGGAGATAACACAAGGTCATCTGTTGTTTCTCCAGCAAAATCTGATCATATTAAAAATTCCCATTCAAACTCAACTTCTAGTCCTAAAGGTAGTATTCGAGATACTGCATTAAGTTCTAAGGAATATTTAAGTTCTGCCTCAAGCAGGGAGAGTAGTACATCAAGTAAAAAAGATGTACAAAACAAAAGTTCTGAGAGATCAGAAAGCTCCGTGCGAGAGGAGAAAAAAAGTGATAAAAATAAAGTTGAAACGAAAGTTGAGCCTGAAGGTCAAAAACCCACAATGGAAACTACGGGACCTCCACCACCACCTACAAACTCTTATGCTTATCTTCATCCACCTTATCATATACAGCCACCCCCTCCTCATTTTTCACATATGCCTTTTGAGCCAACCCATGCTATGTATCGTGGTGGAATAAATCCAATGATTGTGTCAGCTCCACATTATGGTAATTCTCCATATGTTCATCCTCAGTTAAGGTATGTGACACCTGGAACTTGTGAACTACCCTCTCATTCTCAACCTCCAGACTCTATGAGTAACAAATTACATCCAGCTGGGGCACCAAAAGCCTTGGACTTATTGCACCAAGTTTCGCAACACTATACAACTACTCATAAAATTCATGAACTACAGGAGCATGCATTAATGTCTCCCACTCCTACATCCACGCCTTCATCTACTCCATCTACAGCATCCAGTTCCAGCAATGGAAAATCAACTTCAGCTGAACCTGTTGTCACTGTTGCTAAAATGGAAGTTGGGGGCTCACGAGATGCTTCTCGATCCCCACCTACACAGCGGCATCTGCATACCCATCATCATACCCATGTAGGAGTTGGATACCCTATATACGACCCTTATGGAGGTAAGAAGCTTGACAATGTATAAGTTTATTTCATAATCTAGTCCATGGCATTGCATTAGATATAGAGATGGAATTTAAAAGAAGTACTTAAAATAGATCCTGTTTCTTTTCATTTTGTAGGCAAGGAGAGTAAATGACACATCATACTTTTTTCTGTAAATAACTGCAGGCATGCATTTTTGAATTTGCAGAGAGTTAAAACAATATATATCTTTCAGTTTAAGAAGAAGGCTGATGAAAGAGGTTTTATAGTAGTTTTTAAAATATGTTATGTAAAATTAAATTATAATTAATGAATATTTTCTGGTGAAGTCGAATTTGCTCAAAGTATTTTTGCTGTGCTAATTCATATTATATCCAAAGTTTTTTACTGAAATACAGCATTTTGTTTCGTTCCCATTAATAAAACTTTTGAGAAAGGTACTAAAATGTTGTACTAAATAGTTTTCCAGTAAATGTTTAGGATGCAATGTTAAAGATTTTTTTCGCTGTTTATGCTGATCTAAGAAACATAAATGCAAAGAAGTTTTAAGTAATATATTTGTTGTGTTCTATAAATACTTAATCTTGCAACCCTTAAAGCCTAATGTGTTACATTTATTAAATTTAAATTTGCATTCAAAAGTATATGCTTCCATATATTTAAGTGTTTAAAATGTACAGATTTAAACATAAAAAAAATTAATTAAATCTGTATCTTTAAAAATTATTTGTACATGTATCTGTGTATTTTACTTGTTTAAATTGCCGTGAATCTAAAAAAGAGTTTGAACAGTTGTGGACCAAATCTGGTATCTTTGGAAATAATGTTGAGCATATTTTTCTCTTGATTAGTGACAGTATTGGGCTAAATTTTGTACATTGTAAGAAAAAAGAAAGTTTCATAAAAAAAAAAAAAGTTTTTTTGTTTATTATGAATTTGGTATAATTGTAAGTTGCACTTGAAGAAATCATGATTCCTTTTTACTCAGTCTAAAGCTCCTACTACTAAATTCAAACTAATTAGCTTTCCCTTTATGTTTTGAAAATAATATAACCAGTAATGTAAATTAACTTGGTTTGAAAAATGTTCTAGAATTTTGATGTATAGAACTATTCTTGTAGTCATTAGAGTCCTCTATAATTACTTTGAAGCCTTAACAAAATAATTTTTTTGTACTTTATAAAAATATAAACATTGGAAAAAATTAAATTTTTGTTTTTTGCAGAATTCATAGTGAAAAATGAAGCACAAATTCCCTTCCTACCTCTTTCTTAAGTTTAAAAAAGAAAAGACATTTACTTTTCATTTTCAGAGAGACAGAATTCGGTTTGTAATTATTTCACAAATTCAATAGATGGTTTTTACTTAGAGTATATTGTATCTGAAAGAAAAATTATTTTATAATAAATATGTGAATCAATAGTATGTATTACTTTATGCTCTATGCAAGTTTTTTTTTTTGGGGGGGGGGGGAGATTCTAATAAAAATGTCAGGTAAATAGATTTTTATCTGTGTTATTAAATTTTGTTTACACTTGTTTTTAGGGAGAAAAAAGTAATAGGATTTTAAATAAAAAATTTAAAGTATAGTTTTTTTATTATTATTTTATTATCATTAAACAGATGAAAGCAGTTTGCATGGGACACATATATTGTTGCATAAAATTCTCGTATTTTTGTATTAGCCGTGTCATCTCAATTCAAGAATCATGTATCAGATAACCATTTAGCAAAGAAGCATTTTGAAATAAAATTTGGATGTTATTTATCTGCTTGATTCACAAAAATATTTGGTGACTTTGCAAATTGACATTTAAAGCCTATCTGAAATGGTATTGCGAATGGGAAAGTGTCAATATTTCTGAGGGGAGGGGGAAAAAAAAACCTACAGATTGCTTTTAGGACTATCATTAGATGTGCTTTATGAATAATCAATAAAAGACCATGTGGGTCTTTAAAAAATTGACTGTTCATGCTTTGCAGTCACTTATGTTAGCACTAAGTCAAGTCAATTTTAGCATGCCCTTCCTGCAACTTAATGCAACTAGGGTAGACACCCGTAATCAGCCTCCTTATTAGGTGGGAGGGCCGGGCATGTCTGCCATGACCTCTTAGAGAATTAATCTAGTACTCTAGCTACGCCAGGGTGCCTCAAATCCTCCAGGGCTGAACCGAGCCACCGGATGCTTATACACCTCGGGTCTCGGAGACCACCCTGAAGGGAGGCCCTCAATAGGCACCCATGTCAATTTGGCGATCTGTGATTGGTCGTTGATGTGTTGTCAGTACTATATGGCTACCCGTCACCGAGTGTTGAAACTAAATAACGTTTGCATAATCCGAGTTCAGAAAACAAAACATTTATTTTACACATTTTAAAGAAATAACGTTCTGAAACAACATGTTTCATCTACACAATCAATCGACGCTCTCACCAGAGCATTACGCCATCAAACTTGGCACACATCCAAAAGTTCAAATTGAAGAATTACAGAAGCGTTGTTGCCACACAAGAAAAGACATATAGTTACAAACTTCACACAATAATAAAACAAAACACACATTTTGAAAAATAGAAACAATATACATAATAATAAAAATAGTAATAATAAAATTCTTAACAATATTTTTTTCTCGATTATGCAACATCCTCCCCCCTTTTTGAGTCAGTGGCAAACGACTCAAAAACATATGTTATCCTATTAAAAAGGTCTAGTACATTAGGCTTCTTAACAAGCCGTCCTGACGACGTAAATTTTCTGTTTTATATGCTGTACGTCAGTCTGATCGTTTTTTTTTTTCTTATCGTCGTTAACGTTAGGCTCTTCAACTAAATAATTTTCACTTAGTTGTATCTCTAGTGGAATAAATACGCTGAACGGGCCTTATGAAAATCCCATTCTGAGTTTTTTTTAGTTTAACTGTTCGAACTTTGCCATCCCGACCAGGAATTTTCTCTATAATTTTTTACCCAAAGGCCAATACAAGCGTTTTTTTGAAATCATCGCCTATTAAGACTATCTCCCCAATTTTAGGCAACCGGGTTACTTTATTTTGTGGGTTGTTTCATTATTAATTGCCCCAAATATTCTTTTCGGAAACGGTTCCTTAAATCTTTAAGAAGTTTTTTTGTGCGGTATTTAATTCTTCTAAAAAATGCTGAGAGTCAATTTTATCTATATCTGCTACATTCGAAGTACAATTTTCAATTAAAAACATTGACGGAGTTAAAGGGATAGCATCTTCAGAGTTCTCCGAAATATATGTTAAAGGTCGAGAATTAATTACCGACTCACAATCGCAAATTAAGGTTTCCAGTTCTTCATAAGATAAAACCGATTTTCCCAAAGAACGTCTTAAAAGTTCTTTAAAACCATGCGAACTAGCCGTTCCCACCAACCTCCCCACCAGGAGGCTGTTGGTGGATTGAATTTCCATACTATTCTCTTTATTTTTGCCTCATTCTCTATTATGTCCCAGTTAAGTTTAGACATTTCGTTATAACGTTCCTCGGAAGTTAGTCCCATTGTCAGAATAAATGGTTCGTGGTCTGCCACGTCTGGCTATGAATCGTCTTAAAGCCAAAAGAAAAGATTCTGTTGATAACGAAGTCACCAGTTCTAGATGGATTGCCCTGTACACAGCGCATGTGAAGAGTGCCATCCAAACCTTCTTACCGTTTTTCAAAAACAATGGGCCAGCTAAATCTACTCCTCCCAAAATTTCAAAAGCCCTATAATCTCCTACGCGATCTTCAGGAAAGAGGAGTCACTTCGCAAGACATCGGGTTTCGCTTTATATCGTTGACATATTACACACCCTTTTAACACATTACGCACAGTTTTACGTTGTTTTAGTATCCAGAATCTTTCTCTTAAAATAGATTGAAGCATTTGAGTTCCAGCATGACAATGTTTCTTATGAACTGACTCAATTAACAATGTAGTAAAGATACATTTACTCGGTAACAAAATTGGTGTTAAAAATTCAGAATTGTCTTTGCGTTCCAATATTCTAGTTTTAACTCTTATAATTTTTTTCATTATCAATGAATACATCAAGTGGATTAAGAGCTCCAATGTCAGGGAAATTTGAGCTTTGAACCAACCGAATCAAAACTTTTTCGGAATTTATGATTTCAGCAACAGTTAGTTTATTTAGATTCTTTACACAAATTTGACTTCTTCCTACAGTTAGAAATAAAACGTAACACCCAACCGGTTACACGAATCATTTTTTCATAATCAGAAACTCTTTTTGCATACCAAGGAGTGGTATCCTCTGAAAAGTTAACATTAATAAGTTTTACCTTCCTCTTTTCCAAGTCAGCTTCGCTCGGCTGACAAACAATATATTGGTAGGCCAAAATTCAGGGCTTTCTCTTAGCCAGAGAGGTCCCTTAAACCACTCCGAGTTAATCATTTGTTTTGTTTAGCAGAGCAACCTCGAGATAACACATCTGCTGGGTTCATATTACCAGGCACATGCCTCCATGATTCAGGTTTTGTCAACTTAGTAATTTCTTTAACACGATTGCTTACAAAGTTTGACCAATTACCAGGATTTCTGATCCACCATAATGCGACTGTGGAATCACACCACCATAAAATTACATTTATATCAAAATCATTAAGAGCTTTACAAACAGAATATAATAATCGGGATCCAATGCAACAGGACATTAATTCCAATCTAGGAATCGTCAAATTCTTAATAGGAGCTACTCTAGATTTTGCTCTTAAGAGAGTTTTTTACACTGCATGACACTTCTCGCGACCCCCCCCCCCCCCCCCCCCCCCCCCCCCCCCCCACCCCCCCCCCCCCCCCCTGCATAAGCATATTTGCAGGCATCGACAAATACATGCAATTCAACTGTTTGCAAAGGTTCCAATGAATCGGGGTATTGCCACATTTTTCAACAAAAGTATATCAGATAACCACACAAAAAATTTACTTACAAAATCATGAGGCAATACCTCGTCCCAAGAAAATTTCAACTTCCATGTTTCTTGTAACA